CATGGGCAGCCAAGCAAACTGTCAGTACAGGTAAAAGTCTCTTCGTTAGTGATGGCACTCACAAAAACATCTGCAAATATTAAATGGCCTCCAAGCAACCAACAAATTATAATTACCCAGTGCTAGAGCTGTAAGAGACACACAGAGGGACAGACAATAACTGCCTACTGATGCTAGGGATATAGGGATACTCTAGTTACTCTAAGACCATGGAAGGAGAATGTCAACATAATCTTTCTCAAATGAAGTCTTATTATCAACACAACCTACATGACTGTCCAAGGTAAAATCCCAGCAACAGATTTTAGTAGCATTCCCTTTATCATTTCAGCTAATGTCAATGTCATGATCAAGCAGGGGCTGAAGCTGACTGTTGGCAATTTCAGTAGCCACAATATCAATTGAAAGTGCAGTACAAACAATAAACACAGACATCTACTTAAAATGCAAGAAGACACACATCACACCAGTCTAATCTGGAGTTTAACCTAGAATCCAAATCTCCGTAACTCCTTGCCGGGGGGCGGAGGGGAGGAGGGGGATCAAACTTGAACTGGAATGGTACGTCTGCACCAACTGAATTGTTGTCACAAAATTGTTCTCAATCGTACTTCAAACTTGCCACATGGATTAATCGGCAGTTAGAAGCAGCTGCAACACTATGTTCTGTGCACTTCTGTTGCCATTTTAATTTTTAAAAAGCAAATGGAGAGGCTCTCCACAAAATTCAATGCTGCAATAGCAATGACTGAACTAGAATCACAAAATTATGAACAGTTCACTAAATTGTCTATTAGGAGCACATATCAAGAGGCTGCAGAACAAATTGTGTGCCTGAAATAACAGATCAATGAATGAAGAATAAAGAGATGTAAGAAGTGGAGACGTTGACGAACCATTGTAATTTGTGAAGAATCAATTTCCATACAGCCAGAGTAATGGCAGAACATCACAGATAGTGTATTCATGACTTTTAACAGCAAAAAAATCATGGATTACCAAATGACAATTCATTAATGCTCCAAGAAAGAGAGAATGATACTGCAATACAAGGCCAAGAAGTACACCCACGTTTTAAAATTAGTAAAACGCAATAAAAGCAGCCCACAATATACATGTCCAGTAAAAAAAAAAAAGTTGCCTTGGGCAGGATGGGTGAATCCTTTAAAAATCAGAAAACCATCATACAATGACTGAGTTAACAATGGAAACACTGAATATATAAAACATTTTTGACTGATGATACAAATCTAGCTACTTTATCATCTCACTGTATGTCCAGCTACATAAATGCTCAGGCACAAATACATATTAGAGAACTCCTAAAGCCAAAGGATGATGTTTCAAAGCAAAGGCCTAAGGCCAGATTTTACTACACCACCTTATGAATTATATGAGCTGCTCCTTCTTAAGCTATCACAGTTTGCTGAACACATCTTACCCTAGACTACAAAATGGCTAATCAGAGGGCCATATACCACTTCTGTACTATTCAACATCTACATCAGTGACTCACCAATCTATGGCACAAGAGGAGGTTTTATCTACGTGAACAAATGCCAAGGGTCTTGCCGGTCAGCATCTCCTGTGTTCTCAGATAACTGTATAAACACTCATTGTGCCAAAACCAGACAATGGAGCATTTATAAATTTGTGGCTTGTGTAATATCAAGCACCTAGCAGACAACAGACTGAAACACAGATTAGTTTCTTTTTTCTCTAAAAACACAAAACAAATAAACAACTTCGAACAATTCACCCTGTCAGATTCCTGACCTCAAACCTTCCTTGCCTTTTACCTCCTAATATAAACAAAGTGCATTTTCAAAGATCGCTCAAACCTGAACACAGAAAATGACTATAACTAAGGCAAAATGCACAAGACAGATCACAGATGTAAAGGACTCTTGTGGTTTAACCCTAGCCAGCAACTAAGCCCTACACAGCCACTTGCTCACTCTCCCTGCAGTGGGATGTGGAAGAGAACTGGAAGGGTAAAAGTGAGAAAACTCATGGGTTGAGATAGGGACAGCTTAATAAGTAAAGCAAAAGCCACGCGTGCAAGCACAGCACAACAAAGAATTCATTCACTATTTCCCATCAGCAGGCAGATGTTCAGCCATCTCCAGGAAAGCAGGACTCCATCACATATAACAGTGACTTGGGAAGACAAAAGTCATCACTCCGAATGTCCCCCCCTTCCTCCTTCTTCCCCCAGCTTTACATGCTGAGAATGACGTCATATGGTATGGGATATCCCTTTGGTCAGTTGGGGTCAGCTGTCCCGGCTCTGTCCCCTCCCACCTCCTTGTGCACCCCCAGCCTACTCGCAAGTGGGGTGGGGTGAGAAGCAGAAAAGGCATTGACTCTCTGTAAGCACTGCTCAGCAGTTATAAAAACATCCCTGTATTATCAACACTGTTTTCAGCACAAATCCAAAAAAAAGCCCCATACAAGCTGCTATGAAGAAAATTAACTCTATCCCAGACAAAAGCAGCACAGGCACCCACTCCATGAACACACCTCACCTCCTGGTTAACCAAAAATGACAAAAAGTTGCTCATACTATGATGGGTTGAAGCCATGGTACTCACTATTCAGATGCACAGAATGAGGAACTTGATGATGCTGCCAAACACGTACAAGATGTGATGGCACAGGCGCCCACATGGAGACATACTAATCTTTATAGTTGCGTCTTGTCCAACTCATTTATTTGGAAAATGGGGAAAACTGAACAAAACAGGCACACACAAAGGTCTGCACACACAGACCATAGAATAGGTGACAATCTGCTTCCTGCTGGAAGAAATGCATATCAGGTAATTTAGACAATGGAATAGATTGGGCAACAGCACGTTCCCTCTTTGGAAAAACATAGAAGTTGTTGTGAAAGGATGTGACTAGCAGCAGCAGTAGCCCCATCGTCTCCTCCCCTGCCACAGTTCTTGCAGGAACAAGGAGGAGGAGGAGAAGGTAAAAAGCAAGGTTCTTCAATCATCAGGAACAAAGCTCTGGCGTGACAAAGCAGTGCTCAACAGCTGGGCAGCTCCAGCACAGAGCCCAGGCTGCCTTCTGAATGGAACAGAGGGGCTGAGCTAGCCACAGAGCACCAGATCACCACTCGGCAGAGGTTAAGAACAGATGGCCTGCTATTCCTGTTAATCAAGATGGGCACAGACTTCTACTGTGCACTCCTTTCTTAAGGCTGCATGCTCAGTGCCTACAGAAGTTCCCAGAGCCTATCCTGCTATACCTAGCAAAGACCATGTACTTAGATATTTCTTCAGCTTTAACAAATGCATTCTTGGCAGCATGAGAAACTATATGAAACCATTTGGTGATAAATTTAAGTATATACACTTATTTATCTATCCAAGAAACTCAATCAAGATGCTTTGTACTATTTACTTTGCAACAGTGTAGGACTGGTTGTCATTTCCAACATTTTAGTTTTCTTTTTACTCTCTAGTACACAAGTGTACTCGCTGGGGGTGCACAAGCAGCTGGGAGGGGGCACAGCCAGGTCAGCTGGCCCCAACTGACCAAAGGGACATTCCATGCCATATAATGTCATGCTCAGCAATAAAAGCTGGGGGAAAGGAGGAGGAAGCGGGGGTGTTCGGAGGTATCTTCCAATAAGGCATTTGTCCTCCCATTATGCATGAAGAGGCCCTGCTTTCCTGGAGATCACTAAACATCTGCCTGCTGATGGGAAGCAGTGAATTAATTCCTTATTTTGCTTTGCTTGCATGCACAGCTTTTGCTTTACCTATTAAACTGTATCTCAGCCCACGAATTTTCTCACTTTTACCCTTCTGAATCTCTCCCCCATCCCACGGGGGGGAGTGAGTGGGCGGGTGTTGGGAGCTGAACTGCCCACTGGGGTTAAACCATGACAAGAAGAAAGTTTAAAAGACAAAATGTCTAAACATGCAAAATCAAACATATCTCCAAGTAGTCCGAATTAATGTAACAGAAAGAGTAAGTGGGGAATAAATGTGTTTAATCCTTACTAAAACAATAACGCTAATGAAAGTAGACAAGACATGAGGCAAAAACAGTTCTCGAATGACATGCCATGATGATTCCAACAGAAACTGCTGGGCAACATTATGTAGTCTCTAAGAAAAAGACCCTAGTTAGTGCTCAGAACTGTGCATCGCCTTTCTCCAAAAGCCACCCTGACGTGAGCAGCATTACTACCTGGTGAGTGCAAGCATGCTGAGGCTGTTCTTTCTGTTGGGCAGGGGAGGCTGTGACAGTGCAAGGAAGACCTCAGCACACACTGTTTTGCATCCACTGAGATCAGATGCCTTTCTTCTCAAGTCAACGCTCTGACTCCTAAAGCATTACAAAAAGCATGGCACTGAAATTGAAGTCATTTCACATAAAAAAGGAATCACGGTCAGTTGCTTCTGCACCTACTACATCCACAACATGCCTACAAAAAGCCTGGGAAGTACCAGTAGCATCCAAATATCTACAAATATTTAATATAATAATTTTAATTTTTTAATTAAATTTAATAAAATATCAACAAATATTTAATCAATTAATTATTAGATCTCTAATTAATCAATCTGGTGGCTCCTGGTATCTCCTGGTAAAATGAGAAAACCAGCCAACACATTTATCTTCAGCTAGAAAGTAAAATGACATGGTTTTATACCCAGTGCTTTGCCTTGAGGAGAAGAAAGTTAAAGAAAATACTGGACTGTATAATAGTCTCTGATTTGTGTAATCTAGATGATATTCTATTTTGACCAGACACTAAAGTCAAACTGTAGTCTATAAGTCTTAAGCTATACAGCGGATAATGGAAACTACTGTTAGAGCATTAACATGCAATAAATCCTGAAATACCTTTTCTTAAATGACTGCAGCCTCACTAATTCTTTCTTAACATATATAAAAGTATCACTTCTACAGAGAAACACAACAAAAACCACAGCACATCGATACATATACACATGCATACATGCACACAATTTATATACCTCTCCAAGAGCTTCATAGCGCTTTTGGTTCCATCTATGCAAATCTTCACGATAATTAAAAACAAATGGCTCCCCGGTTTTTATGTGTCTTAACTGCCCTTCTGTAAAAGAAACAAAATCATTATATGTTAATATACTACTTCATCAAAAGTAAGATACATTTAATTGTTGAAAAGTTTAAAAGAAGTCTACATCTAAAAATCAGACTATTATGAATTCCTTCACCTTTTTTGGTTGTAGTATTTTTGAAGGAAAAGAATTGTAGCATAAAACAAAATGCATTCCCCTGAAATGGTATATATTGCTAGATAAAGCTAAACACAAGTGATGAGAGTGAAATTACATGCAGATATCAAACACCAAACTGCTTTGCAAAAAATATTTATGTCCCAACTTTCATGGATTAACAGTGAAATGTAAACATTAGCAGTTAATATTTGATCTTCAATGTCAATTAGGTGATCAAATTGTAGCTACAAATGCCCTACCTCAAAACCAACTGCATTATGAAGAAATGTGAGTATAAATTGAGCTGGAGGCTGGAAGGAAAGGAAACATCTATTTTCAAGATCAACAACATTCTAAGTTAATCTGAAAAAAACCATGCCCACCGTTAAAGTAAATACCTTAACTCCTAGGCACAGTGCAATCAAGTTAAGAGCTCTTAGATTCAGGGTACACTGAGATTACAACAGTAAAACAAAGCAGAACGCAAAACCACATGCTGTTCTTAGATTCCGGTATAACTTTCTGCAGTTGGTCTTGTTTATAGCAATAGTTTAGTAGCATACTCAACCACAGATGAAGACATGGACTGAGTTAAAATAACAACAATAATAAAACGGCAACCAAATAAGAAGCAAACTGCAGAAACCAGATACCTTACCAGTAATGTTTCAGCTAATTAGACAAAACACAAGTTATGGTCTCAGAGCATCACAAAATTGCAGTAAATCAGAGAAACGTTAAAAACAGGGATATGTACAAGTATCTCCTTTGAAAGCAGAAATGTCTGCATGATGAAAGTAAGGTTTCTCAGTAAAGTATTTCCTCTTGAACAGTAAGAAATCGCTAACTTAGTTCACAACTTTTCAGGACCTTTACATTTTGATTCTTGATGTTTTAAATAAAATATTTAAGATCTGATATCTCTAATAGTTATGCTTATCTGCTTACTTGACTTTTTTTTCCAGACCTGTCTTACCTCATGTACTAGACACCAGGGAAATATTTTTTCCCAACTTGCTATACCCTGTCTCAGGTCCAAATATCCTTCTTCTCATACTTTCATCACAGCTCTACCATCAGCTGTTCCTTCTCAGCTAGTTACTCTTCAAGTATGCTATTCAATAGTACATGTAGTTGCTCTCTCCACAAGTAAAGTGGAGAAAATATCTTGTATATTTTTTCTTTAGCTTTCTGGAACCCTTGTCTTTTAAATCTGATAAAAATCTTCCTTACTTTTCCATCATAAAAAGAAGCATGATTATGACATAAGAGTACATGACCGAACATTTGAATTAAATATACAAAAGCAAAAGAGAACTTTTTGCTTTGCTGACCAGTAGCATATGTAGTAGGTTTTGCTGCATTCTATGAAAATCACTCAGGCTGTGAGGTTAGTGATGGAATATTCAAAAACATCATTCTAAAACATCATTCCCCAAAATTCAAATTTCAGCCCTTTTTATCAACCACATATGAACCATTAACTCTGAAGTCAGTAAGGAAGACAGTAGACACTGTGCAGATCTAAAAATAAGGAGCTGAAAAGTGACAGAGCTGAACCCCTCCCATCAAAGAAAGAGCATCACTTTCATGACACTTTTAGTCTCTAAGTACCTTCCTGTGAAAGCCATCAGGGTATTAAAAAGCTAAGTGTTGCATAAATGACTATCATTTAAAGGAAAGCTCTTTTTTTCTTTAAAAGTGGAAGATATAAGACAGGTAGATTTAGAAACTAAAGTTCCTCTGTTCACAGAACAGGCACTGCAAAGAAGCAGAATTGTAAACGTCCCCATTTGTCCTACAGGTTTCAAACAATCTTGAAAGAGCCATTTCCTGGAGTCTGGTATTACTTTAGCTCAGAGGCTTATTTCTCAGCTGGATTTTAAAATGTATGCACTGGAAATTATAAATACTATTAACTCATTTAACACACATATTCAGCTAGCTAGAAGTACTTGTAGTTATTACACACTTAGCTGTAATGCAAAACCGTGACCCACACCAGAAGATTAAGAGACAGTCTATCACACTGCTCATCCTTCCATCAATATAAATAGGTGTTTTCCTACTGGTATTAATGAAATTGCTGGGATAAATTATTAGCTAAATAATAACTCCTTTTATATCCATAAAAATGAATCAGTAAATAAAACGTTTCTTATATGAGTGACCACTCTTTAATTTTGCTTTTTAATGCTAACGCTACAGAAATTACTTTCAGAATTTTTGTATCAACACTTCTGTAATAGAAAACAGGAAGTCATAAAGTACGTGCAGTACAAACCTAGAGTATTGTATAAAATGAGGGATTTTTGTGACAATTTTATGAAATAAAAAAAATATTACTTAGCTAGATTTACAAGTCTGTTAACACTAAGGCTTAAAATTTTATTCTTAACAGAAAAGTGTGAAATTCTAATAGGGACTTATAAGGTATAATTAAAGTTCTGATAACCTCTCAACATGATTCTAAGTATAGCCTTTACAAAGCATATACGACTTACTTTCATTAAAAATGTACTCAAATCCTTCCAGAGTATCAGGAAATTCAAGTGGTGGCTCATCTTTTTTCATTAGTTCATCCAAGTCTATTCTAGACAATAAATCTAAAAAAGGAAAAGAAAAATTACATAATGCATGCTATGTCTTTTTTATTTCACTATTATCACTGACAAAATGTGCTTGTTCAGATTTGTAGATCTTAAGGGCAGAAGGACATCCTACATATTACTAAACATAGGACTTCATTATGGGAAATCTCATTCTAGATTCAAAAGCTGGGCCTCATCGTCAGTACATCTTCTTCTTTATTTATTTATCTACCTACCTACCTATCTCCAGTGTTGATCAAAAAATGTCCAGGGACAGAGAGGCCACCAAAGACATAGTGATTTGCTTCAATGATTCATTACCCTCAATGTTAGAAATACATCTCTGGTATGCATCATGGTTTTAACATGAACTTACCTAGCTTCAATATCAAGTCACTGATACATTCTTGTTTGCCTTCTTGAAGAGCTGAGATTACCAAATGCACGTCATCTCACAGGTATTTACCAGCTGTGATCACAACACTCCTTAACCTTCCCTTTGATACCCAGATCCTTCTCTCAACCACCCTCCTTTAATAACCCTCAAGGTAGAGAAAACTGCCATCCATTTTATAGCAAGCCATGACATACACATCCTTTTCAGACTAGGATGGTATATCCTAGTACAGCCTGCATTCACTAATACAAGTACACTAAAATAAATATAGTTTGCATTCTTTACCCCAGGTTTAAAGATTTACCTTTAACCAGAGGCAAGTATATATGGACATCTTTTGCTTACATCTAACTACTAAACAATTACTGCATACACAGATAATAGTGTATAATCATTTCTCCTCTCCTCATTGCTCATCACCCATGCAACCTGATGCTATCCTTTTAACATACTTTCTGATTATTAATAAAAAATTATCAAGAAATG